ACCTATGATGTCAATTACAGGCCTCTCTCATCTTTTTAAGTGGGAGAACGTGCACAATTGGTGACTGACTAAATACTTATTTTCCCCACTGTATACAAAATCAAGGCTGCCCAAACCTTTTCTCCAAAATGAAAATCTATCCAAGGTTGCAGGTAAATGCAATAATTTAATTCATAATACTGAAATGAGATGCATCAGGACAATATAATTCATGAAATACAAGTACTTCTTAAGTACAGTCCTTTTTATTTTAACGATTATGTCCTGCTGGAGTATGACATGATTTGTTTGTGTCCAAACTAATACGGCATCAGAATTTTATATATTTATACTTCTCATTCAACCACAGTTAAATTCACTCTATCTAGGAGGCACAGTTTATATGGATAGTATTTATTTTTTACAACAACAAGCTGGAATGAAAACAAGCAAAAACAAAATAAAAGTAACAACTTTCTTCTTGCCTTTTTTTAAAATGTGAAGAGTAGAAAGTACAGATAATTGTGTGAAAATGTAAGGATTAGAAGTAAAAAATAGGCTGAAAAATATTTACTCAAGTAAAGTACAGATACCCAAAAATTCTACTTAAGTACAGTAACAAAGTATTTGTACTTAGTTACTTTACAACACTGAATTTAATAATGTTAAAATGTATTTAAACTTTATTTATCCTGTAAGAAATGAAGCACAAACACATTCTGGTTTTAACTATGAGMGGTTTTGAGGTTTTTACATTTTTGTACAAAGCTGCTGCTTATGGTTTCTCTGTCAGTCAAACCCAGCCTGGTACGATCCCCCTCTTTGACTCAACTGTTGCAAACTGCACTGACACAGCAAGATGACTGGTTCCTGTACTTTGACCCATTGTTCAGCCCACCTGAGCGCACTGAAAAGCCTCCATGTAAGTTTCTTTGTGTGGAAGRTTTCATTTGCCAGATGCCTCTATCGAAGGGGCTCGATAACGGCCGTCTGCGTGAATAAAGCCACAGCTCAGAGTGTCGTTTGTCGTTTTACTTCTTCTAGCCTCCGTCGGAGCTCAGTCCCAGCTTGATGTCGCATCTGGGACCACACAGGAAGTCTCCACCAGGGAATTCATTCAGCGGCTGCAGGAATCKGTGACCTTGGTAGACTCGCTGCAAGAGGCGGAGGTTCTGAAAGGGAAGCTGATGGAAGTGAGGGACTTGGAGGAGAGGCTGCAGGATATAGACGAGGTTGCAGAGAGGGTTCAGAAGATGATCGAGAGCGAACTGGGGCAGGAAGAGGTCGACAGGTTGAGAGCAGAGGAGGAGATGGAGCAGCAGCAAATCMAAGGTGGAGCGAAGGTAGTGGTGARGAGATCCGTGAGGAGGACGRAGTCTACGGAGGGCGATGTGGACGAACTGGAAGATCAGATAAAGCAGGTGTTCTTTAAAGATCTGCTGCCTGATGAGGACGGAGGAGTTGAGGAGACTGAAGAGAACCGGTTGGATTTTAGTTCCAGAGAGAAACTACGGCAGATAGAGAAGGACTTCCTGGAAGAAGTGAGGAAGAAGTTTGCCTCTCCAGGTGCTGCAGGTGCCACCTCTGCAGTAACGTATCAAAAGCTAGTGCGTTTGGGTGATAAGCAGKTGATTATTGTAGAGGAGGAGGAACAGGCTGGAGCTCAGGAGGAATGGTTCAAGCTCTTTGATCGGCCTTCRTATTTTACAGCAACAGGTAAAGTATGTTGTGCAAACCGTTTTGGACTTTTACTGATCGTTCTAATAATCTAACAGTGTGACGTGCGATAAAAATAATAAAATTAACCAACTACCAACAAGATGCTCCGCCTTTCATCAGCAGTTTGATTAAAGTGAAGCTTCTTGCAAGTGAGAACAAGTTCTGCTTCTTCAACGGTGACCTTTTTGGACTTACTCGCCACATTTGCTTTAATTTTCTTTGTCTTTGCTCTAGTCGATGCTGATGAGAGCAGGTATTTCAGCTCAACACATGCAGGGAGAAMTGAGATTCTAGAGGAGGAGGAGGAGAGGCGACAAAGAGAAGAACTCATAAGAAGGGTGGATGACTGGTTTACTTTGTTGGCTGTTCCTCCTGGAAAAACATTTTACTTACCACCAGGTATCGCTAAAACACAATTTTTTCAGTTCTGCTTTTTTGCTTGCATAGAAAAGAGGCGCACGCTAACTTCTTACGATAAAAGCCTTTTTTCCTGACTCATCAGTTACAATGAAAGGAACTCTGATGGATGAAGGAAGTTTTGTCTCTGGGGTTGGATGTGCACAAGAGGTAAACATAGTCGAAGACAGAAAGTTAATACGAAGAAATCTTGAAGAAATCCAGCAGCAGTCAGTGACKGAGAGAGTTGATGACTGGCTTCTGTTGTCGGACCCTCAAAAAGCATACGTTTCACCAGGTASAAGCCAAAAACATTCAGCCTTGCTTTCAAAACCTGCACATCTTGCAATATCTGAAGTTACTGTTTTGTGTCTTAGCTGCTGAAGTGAGTGTAGAAGAAGGGGTCTCTCTGATTGAAGAAGAACCTGCTGGCCAGAAAGAACAGGTAGCAGTTTTTGTAGAGGACTTGGAAATGAAAGAAAGGGAGACAAAAGATGATCAGAATGCATTGCTTCCCATAAAAGAGTCATCACTCGTGTCCCAAGGTATTATCTGTCTTCCCTCATTTATTTATTCAGAATTTAATTTAAATTTTTTTCTCGTTTTGTCTCACGGCGCTCTTTCTTTGTGTTTTATAGTTTCTATGACAGGGCGTGTTCAGGTTTATCGCAGAGAGGGTAAAGCTACKATCATGTCCGAGTCAGTAGAGTGGAGCGAGAAGGATGTAGTCAGGGAGACTTTGATGCAAAACGAGGACGAGAAGCTTCCGGAGCAGATTATATTAGAGCGAATACATGACAGAGATGATGAAGACTGGTTTCTGTTGCTTGGTGTGCCTCCCAAACAGGAATCGTATATGCCTCCAGGTATTTTAACCTTTCAGAGGGTTTCATTTGCTCAATAAATCTTAAGTTTCATGTCCTCCAGTGGTCAAAAATGAGGTTTATATCCCGTTTTTTTTTTTTTTTTTCAGTTTCTGCACCGCTGCCACATAAAGTCTATCCTGCTGTTCAAGCTGAARCAGAAAGAGTAGGTCAGAAGTTGTATCAGACATCTTATGACCAGATTAGACCTCAGCGTTTCCAGCCTCTGCTGGAAAAAGATGATGACTGGTGTGTTCTGTTTGATCCTGGTCATGAAAAGGCTGTTTTAATCCCACCAGGTATAAAACCCATTTCTGTTTGCAGCCTGTTTGTTGTTTCTGGCTGATAAGCTAGAGTCACTCAGAATCTTTCACACTTCGTTTGTGCCCCAGTTGAGATCATTCAGGATGTGAAGAAAATGTTTGAGCGCRAGGTGACGACCACAGAGACTAGAACATGCAAGGAGATAATTGGTGTTGGCGGCAGGCAAGACGTGACTCGTGTTCCTGAAATTAGCCTGAGCCAGACTGAGACGCTGCTTAGCAGGGGAGGGGACGATGACTGGTTYGTCCTGCTGGACTTAGCACGAGAACAACCTGCACCCGTCACGCCACCAGGTACTTCCCCCGTCGCCAAAGGCTTTGTGTGTGCTGCGTAATTTATTTCAGGGCTATTTATTTTTATGTTTCTGTATCAGCTGCTGTGGTTCAGCGTGTTGTYCGTGTAGCAGCACCCGCTGAAACCAAACCAACGTTCGTCACGGAAGTCGCGAGACCACGTGTGACGTTGGTTGACCCACCGCAGTCCCGCGAGGTGGATGATGATTGGTTTKTGCTGCTGGATGTGGCAGCTGAAGGATCAGGTACTCTGCTGTTTGGTGTGTCTGCTGCTCAGTCGCAATCACGCCTACTAACAGTTTGCAGTGAGCTTTGTTGTCTGCTTTTCATTTACGAAACTGATACTTTAGGCACTAGATCGAAGCAGTAGTTCAGATATTTTGAAGTGTGATTCTGTTGGAYGGGTTATGACCAAATAAAATCTTAATTAACGTAGGGCTGGGAGGTATGACCTCAAATTCATATCATGGTATAAATTGAATCCCTTCATGGTAACGGTATATATCGCAGTAGAAAATGGTCATAAAAAGCAAGAGCATTTATTTAACAGAAAACTGTAATCATAATCAAAGCCAGCATTTTTGCTGTAGTCCAAATGAACATAACAGAAGTACAAAAGAATGTTTTATATATTGCAAAACGGTTTCAACAACCAACAAAAACATTTATCAAATTTTCAACAATATCAAAATAAAGTGAATGTTATAACCAGTACTTAAAGTTAAATTAGTCATTTAGACATAAAAAATTTTCTAAGTTGGCATAAGTTGTCTAAAATGTTAGTGTGTGCTTGTAATATGATATTGGTGGTGAGGTAATACTATTTGTATGAGATTTGGGGTTAAATAATATAAAAAATGTCAGAACACCCAATGTTATGTTTTAAAATAAAGCGTTAAGTTAAAGCAACTGGAACAGTGAAGTGACAGGATGAAGATGACCTGAGAGTATGGAAAGGTCTATTTTGTATCCGTTAAGGCAGAAATAACTAGGAGGTAATGGGAAGCCACTGAAGGTCTTCAAGACGTTGTCAATCTACTCCTTTTTTTTATAGAAATTTAATCATTTTATTTGTAACATAAAATAACAAAGAACAAAAAACATGCATTCAAAATAAAATCAAATAAAATGAAAGGCAGCAGAAGAAGAATAAATCTTATAATATCTGCCCCTTTTTTATACCCAAAATATKTTCAAAAGAAAAGTAAATTACAACAAAAATCAAAACAACTGAAAACACACAAAAAACTAAACAAAATTTAAAACACCAACTCAAACAACAATTGGCATGAATTCACTTACACTTCTCCATATTTCTTCAGTATACTAGATTTTACCATTCTCTTCAATATATACAAAGATCTGGCATTTTTAACCTCAGCTTCCACACCGTTCCTCAAACTTATTCCCTGGATTAAAGTGGTAAAGTTTTTCCTCCAAACACCTCATCGGTTTGGTCAAAATTAAACTCTTTTTCTTTGGCTCGTTCTACAAGTGAGATACAACTTTCCCACAGAATCCATCCAAACATCTGAGCTTTAACTTTAACCAAATGACTCAGATTAAATTGAGATGCTGTGGCTGCTTTGASTTTGTGTGGGACCTCATTAAGATACTAACTCGAGGGTTTAAAGGATGTTTTTCAGGATTTAGATAGGAGGGATAAATTCATAAACCAGTTTTGTCTTAGCTTCATGTTGTGTRTGTTCTGTCAGCGGCAGTGGACGAACGTATTCGCTCTGCTCCTGAGGTGAGAGCAGCTGAACAGTTTGCAGCAACAGAGCAGAGGGTTCAGAAGAGAATCACTGTAGTGGAAGAAAGGTGGCGAAAGATGGAAGTGGTGCAGCCGCCTCCAGTGCTGACAGCTGTGGAAGATGATTGGTTTGTTCTTTTGGATTGGGCTCCAAAGAAATCGGGTAACTAATGGAAATTTGTTCAACTAAACACGGRAAAAAAAATTGTTGAGGCTTATTGACAGTGTAAATTATTCATGTGGCACTTTTAGTTTCAAATTAAATGCTGTAATCCATTTCTGTTAGCTGTGCAGTTGAAAATAACACCTGCGTTTGTATTAGTCGCTGCTCCTGAACGCACGTGGCTCCCAGCAGAGGTCCGACTTCCAGCTGCAGAGGCCGCAACGAGGATCCAAGTTTCTGAAAGGAAACCAAGGTTTGAGAAGCGAATCCTGGAGGAAAGGCTTCCAATCACAGATACCCATGTTGGTGGGGACTGGTTTGCTCTGTTTGATGTTGGCCTCAAAGAGTCAGGTATTTATTTACTTGTTTGGGTTTGTTTTCACTCACTTTCTTTTTGCTTCATAAAATGCTTACTAACATATATTAACTGGACTCTCCACTACGGATCAAACGTTTGGCTCAAAGCCACCGTTACGCTTCCTCATTTGCAACGTTTTGTCGTTTAGCTTGAAATAAGGCCTAACAGCTGCTTCATCCATTGGCGGATCATAACCAGAACTGCTTCTTTCATTTCACTTTGAGGATGTCTGCTTCTTGCCCAGCTCACATTTACTTTTACGTATTGGAAACAAATAAGGTACAGTATACCCTTGCAGCATCGGATCACAGTAAGTCTGAGTACAGTAGGTATAATACCCCGTTTTGTTTGCATCTAAATGCCCGCTGCCGCAATTAACCATACAACTTCAAACAGCATGCGTTGAAACCATAAACTGCATTTAATTCCCCCTTTTTTGTTTTTTTGTTTTTTGTCTAGTTGTGAGCACACAGAGGGGCTTACGTCCCGTCAGCGCTCCTGTCTTCTCCCAGGCTGCCCTGGCAGAGGCTGGAATTCCCATGTCCCCCTTCGACCAGCCTCAGACCTCCACCCCCATCAAAACCAGCCGCCAGGAGGACCGGAAGCTGGAGGTCACTGTGGAAGCTGCAGAGCCCTCAAAAGTGGAGGCCGTGTCTGAGAGCAAGGTATACAGTTCTTCTGATTGCTAATAAATATGTTTGGGATGTAAATTCAGTACGTATGAACAGAACGTGGCAACGTACTTTAAATATTTATACATTTTAAAAGTAAAAGGTCAGTAAATTAATACCATCCAGTGCTTCGAAAGTGATTGAAAGAGTTTGAAGTGCTTTGAGCGGAAATGTGCATCTGAGTGTAAACTGTGTCTGTTTTGCTGCTGTAGTCAGCAGTGTGGAGGGAGCAGAGAGAAGTGCARTCTTCACTGGTCTCCACCTTCAATGGTGACCTTCAGGTTAGTGTCGGACTCGGGCCTGTTGCATGTCGTCCCTCAGAGGACACGTTCTCACTCCGACCTAAGACTTGAGATGCTCCAAGCCAGCGGTCACAGAATGCTAACTCGTGTTCCTGTCTCTTCTCCGGGTTAGCACGAGTCCGAGTCGGAGAAGACGAGCTTGGAGGGCGTGCTAATGCGAAAGGTCAGATTCTCTGCGCCCTCTCGTGTCAAACCGCAGCCATTTCTCCTCTTTCATTCTGACGACGCAGAACTTTTCCAAAGGCTGAGTCCAGCCTGCTCTCACGCTGTGCTTCCATACAGCTAGAGCTAAAGCGACCGCAGGTTTGCTAATCTGCTGTGTCGACACTGAATCTGAACAGAAAACTTWAAAATCAGTCTGACCTCAGAATAACTTCACTGTTTCAAAGTTTTCAAAGTCAACCTTTCTTCTCATTGCTTGCTGTTGTAAACACCGAAATGCACACATATAACTTTTACAGATGTTTTATCAGATTCTTCATTTATTTTCCTTTTACAGGCCTAGAATCCAACAGCCAGCCTTCTAAAGCCATTCATTGTTTTTTTATTTTATTTTATTTTATTGTATTTTATTTTTATTTTTTGCTATTATAGTACAGTTTTAGCCCCTTGTGATCACTTTGCACCTAATCATTTTGCATGCAGTCCTACTCTGTCGTATTAACACTCGAGTGAACTTGTGCATGTTTTAGTTTTGGCAGTATGTAGGCAAACTGAAACAAACCCACACTTTTTTGTTTGTTTGTTCTTTTCATTCTTCACAGAGAAGAGCTAAGAAATATGAGGGTGACACAATTTATATCAGACATAGYCTGTTAATGCTGGAGGTTTGTATCTGTGTTGGAGATCTGCTTCTTTTTTTTAATTTTTTTATTTTGGCTCTCCGGCTGCCATTTAATCTCATACTTGCATGTGACTTGATTTGTTTGTTTTATTTAATTTTGGATTTTGCACTAAATGACAATGCGTGYGGCAAATGAACTTTAATCCAGCTGATTGAGGAGAGAACGCTGCTTAACATTTAACAAAAACAAATGGAAGCTTTTTTCTCCATGGGTGGAGCCAAACTGGATCAGGATGCTGCATCTCATCATGTCTGTTATTGTGGTGTGATACTGAGCTGTGAGCTAACACCAGTCCGCTGGTGGGCACCAGTCCGCTAAAGCACATATCCGCTAATTGCGGACCTAAATATTTTGTTTGCGCTTTAGCGTCTTACTAATTTTTATAATTCATAAGCGGATTTGCACTTTCTAAAAGTAAAATGCAGTACAGCTAATAACTAATTATCTACCAGTCATTATTATCTTGAACACTGGAAGGTATGGCTGCCTGTCAATGAATCACAACACATGATCYATCTAACAGCACCCCTCCCAGATAAACAYACTTATTGGAAAGGTATACATCCTTGCTGACTGTTGCTCTTGGTCACGGTTCTCATTTCCCACAATGCTTTGTGTCTGCTWATGTAGCAGGAAGGCAATGTTTAGTTCTCCCTTTCCCAGCAAAAACAGTTAATGTTTGTAATCCATACTAAAATTTTGTATGTATTGATTTRTTTTACTTTACAATCGGAGCTCCTTTAAAAAAAAGTTTAAACGCTGGAGCTCAATACTTGACATAATTGGTCGAAGCAATCCACCAACGGGGTTAGACAGACATCTAGTGGTCAACTGGAGCAAYTATATGGAAAACTTTCGTTTTCCGTCACGAATCAAATCCGTCATGTACCCAGAATGCATTGCTTCAGTTTTCCAATAAACAGTTTTAAAATTGCTTTATTGATGCTTMTTTAATGAAAAATCTACAACAAACAAAAGAAAAAGACAAAGAAGCAGTCGAACTAGCAATCCTAAACAACTTTTTAATTTTTACACCAGGAGCTAAAGGTCTGTTTCAGGAAATCACATCCCCAGCTATCGACGGTTGTAGGATTAAGCTGTACAGGGGTTCATACACCACTAGTTGGCAGTGTATACATATATTGTACATGAATTGTTGCCAGGTAATAAGTGTCAAATTGAACTTGCACTTTAAAATTAGCTTCCGCTAATTTCTCTATGGCATGAGCGTTTTTGAAGTTGCGGACCTAAATATTTTCATAAGCGCTTTGGAAATTGCGGAGCTAATTTTTGGGTTAGCGCTGCCCACCACTGCTAACATGGAACAAGAACTTGTTAAATGTTTTTCTACGTTTTCATTTTAAATCATCAGTATTCTCCTGCTTCTGCTTTTTCCTATCATCTCTTTTCTAAAACGAACAGCGATGCATGACACTTTTGCAGCAGTTTTACAAATAATTTATCATTCATAAATGAAATTAGTCAACAATGAACAAAAGTAACATTTGGAGCAAAACGCATTTGCTGTTATGCACCTAAACGAGTGTTATGAAGAAATGAACTGTCTGCAGYATGTTTTGCAATATTAACGTGTTGCTGAATCAGCACTTCTTCTGTTGCCGTTTGTTCATTTATCCTAAATGAACGAGTTTTTCTTTTTTTATGAGATGCTTCGTTTTCTGCATCCTGTACCATGTCTGCTGTCATTTGATTTGCAGCCTGTTTTCTCTGTGTTTCACTGCTGTCCTAATGCTGTGAAACTGAAGCTGAAATTGCTGTGCTGTGTGTTTTAAAGCTGCTGCTTGTTCAAAGCTGAAATAATTTAAGGTCTGAATCAGATACGCTGATGCAGCATGTCAGGAAACTTCAAGTATTTGTACTTCTAGCAAGAAGTGCAAACATTTGAGATTTACTGACTCCGTGTAATTAATGATCTTATAGAATCACCTGTTAACACTGCTTCAGCTTACTCATGAAATCAGCAACAGAAGATGCAACAAAGCAACAGATTCTAACTTTGTTTTTGTTTTCTTCTTTTATTCTTTTTCTCTCAACCTGTTCATCATCTCCCTCTTCTACCTTTTTTTTTTTTTTTAAATTTCCTTGCTTCAATCGTCCGATTCCTGCCTCCCTTCATTTTACATTTTGTCCCTGCCCCCGACATCGCCTGTCTCCTCGTGGACTTTCCCTTCATGCAGGACTTCGACAAGCCTCCGGAGGAGCTGCTCCGGCACCACGCCAGCATCAGCGAGCTGAAGAGGAACTTCATGGAGGCTGTTCCCGAGTTGAAGCCKAGCGAGTGGGACAAGCGTCTGTCCACTCACTCTCCGTTCCGTACGCTGGGCATCAACGGTCAGCCTCTGCCCAGCGCAGACGGGGTAAGTGTCCCGCAGATCACCATTTTTTATCCCGTCAGTTCAGGAACTGAGGGGGGGATTGAAAGGAACGGTTTGAAATKAGCTTCTGCAGACGATCAGTTCCTGAACTGAAATCACAGCTCAAGTCTGCAGACTTGTTCGTAGCATCTTGAGTGGAGTGAATCTGAGTGAGTTGAAAAGAAGCTGATAAAGGCAGGAGTCAGTTCTGTTTGTGTGCACGTCCTGCTGGAGGCCATGGCATGTGGTTTGCAGCACATGCATGTGTAGAGAATGCAGACGGCCTTGTGGAAGTCGGGCCAGAACCTTTTGTTCTTCTACAGAAAAGAAGAATGCGGGTGAGGTTTCTTTGGGACAGGTTGTCCCCTCTCTGAGAACTCACTTGGTCCAGATCTGATCTGCATCAGATCTGAAGCYTGATCTAATTTGCGTTGCATGACTGACAGACCTGACTGCAAAATATACTGCATGACTAAGAGATGACCACCATCATAAAGGTTTGCATGTTCTGACAGCCCTCTCCTCTCTGTTCCTCCYGGTTTTACTTTATTTTTTATTTTTGCTTTGTTTTCATGCTGCCTTCACTTTACGTTTGGCTGCGGCTTCCTCCAAGTCTGATTGTTCTTTCATGAAGAGACAAGGCCTCATTCACAGTTGCTTCAGACCTTCTGCTGCTATAATAAACTAAAATGAAGAWAATTAAAATCTGCAGCTCAGTCCAGCGTGATATAAGTCACTGTTTAGGTGGCAGCTGAGCCTGAAAGATAAAAAAAACACCTCAAAATAAAATCCCTGTTTTTATCTTCAAACACATAAATATTACAAACAGCTGACTTTGAGTCTTCATTGTTGGAGCTGCCAATCACACGACATGTTGATGAAGTATTAAATGCTTTTTTCACCCACTTAGCGTATCACGACATTAAACGTTCTCAAGGTTCAGTGCCCAGATTGTTCTGGCTTTGTTAAAACTACAGTGGTACCTTGACTTACGAGTGTCTCAACTAAACAGTTTTTGAAGTAGTTGGGTTGAGAGTTAAAATTCGGGTTAGGAGTCAGCTTCAGACAGCCCACCGCTAACTGGCGCATCGATGGCCACAGTGCACATCTGCCACAACATCCTCCCAGCATCTCGTCTCGCTTGTTGGCTTTAAGTGGGTAGTAAAGTCTGTACCAGTACTCAACGGTACCAATTTTCGGTACTTTGTGTGTGTTTTGTTTTTAATAAAAAACTTTTTTTATTTAACATATTTATTTGTCAATATATAAAATTTAACAAATATCAAGACAACAACCAACACTTTGTATCGTAACATCAGTTGTTTAACTAATTTCTTTAAAGTGAAAACTCTTGAAAACAATAAGACTGTTTTGTCTTATTGCACAAATTAAAATACAGCTCCACGTATTTCTATTGATGTCATTTCCCCACTAGAAAAGAAATGTGTGATGGAGGTCCATGTAAGGTAAATAAGTCTATGTCAAATAAGCAAAAGAGGATGGAGTTAAAATAAATAAAAGGTATTCAAGCTACGTTTTGAACATCCAAAACCTGTCCAACACTTCAAGTTGGGTTGTGCTCTTTCATGTCAGACGTGTTCGGACTGTCAGGAAGCACCTCTGTTGTTTTCCTCTGCCGGTCTCTGTTTAATGGTGGATGAAATAAAAAAAAGTCACTGTACTTTATTTACTTTGAGCAAGCGAACGTCGTGCTCACAAGATAATTCAGAGGCGGTCTGTTCGGTGAGTTTCACTCCAGGAGCTGCGAGGCTTTCAAGCTACATCCAGACTGAGCTCTGTTTACTGAACCAGCGGCTGCTGACGTCATTACGCTCTTACATTATGCTGCGTTCAGGACAAGCATGGAAAACCCACCACTCTTACGCCAATATGGTCACAATGATGCGTTTAGGTACCGAAACATGGTACCGTTAGATGTTATGTGAATAGGTACCCAGTAGTACTGACAGAATTTGGTCGGTACTCTTAAAAGTATTGAATTCGGTACCCATCCCTATCGTAGAGGTAGCATCAGTGTTGTGCTTGTATTTATGTTTGCAGATAATTATTTTCAGTTCAACCCTTTCCCTCCACCTCTGTCCGCATCTTCAAGCGTCTGATCTCCAAGTTAAATCCTGTACATAATGGATTAAACTAGTTAATTGCAGTAAATTCTGTTGTGTTTTTATATTACATTTTTCATATTTAAGGGGGGGGGTCGGAACAGATTAATGGCTTTTCAATTTATTTCTTTATGGCAAATTGATTTGATGCGAGTAATATGAGTTACGAGCGCCGTCACGAAACGAATAAAACTTGTAATTCAGGGCACCACTGTACTTGAAGCTGAAAACATTGAAATCATTCAGTTTGATCTTACRTTATACGGCAAGTGTGGATGACTTTCTGTCTTTTTGAAAAATTAAAATAAGGTTGTTGGACATGGAAAATGAATGCATGTTAAAATGCATGCACCGGCAATGTTTCCATGATCTGGACAACAAACAAATAAGTAAAACTAGGTTTAAGCACTTTAAAGAAGTATTGAAAATTCTGGCAGTTTATTGGTCGTTGCAGACGCTTCAGAATTCCTTCCTCTCATCTGTCCCCACCCCCCTCCTCCTCCTCCTCCTCCTCCCCCGCTCTCAGTTTGTTATCCGCCTCCCGCGCGGCCCCCTGCTCGACTTCTACTCCAAACGCAGCTGAGGGGCCGTCTCARCGCTCTGGGAACCTCTACCCTACCAGGCAGGTGTGACCGGGGACCGCGCCTCGCCCATCAGCCCATCTACTTTGCTTTGTCTTCCTTTTCTCCTTCTTCTGCAAAACCGCTCCAGCATTCTTCATCTTCATCCTCCGCTCCGCTCGGAAAGCAGAACTTTTTTTTTTCTCTGACATTTTCTGGATGAGGCTTTTCAATTCTTGTTTTTCTAAACTGCTGCACCGTTTTTTCATCTCTAAAGACTGTTTAGGGCTGGAAATGAGTCTAACATGTCAGTCTGCATTTAAAATGTTTTCTGTGATGGAATTTGAAGACATATTCTCTGATATTTATTAGTTTGACCGGTCCGACCGCTTCACTTTGAGCTTGTTTTTRTAAACTTGTTAGGTACATTTACTGAATGTTGTCTTCAGTATTTTGTTTTCAGATAAACTGATCACTGTGACTTTTTTAAACCTGAAAGCACACAAAGCACACACTGCAACACTGCAGGCTTGTTTCAGGGGGATTTTAATATTGACTAAGGTGGGAAACTTCGAGGCAGCTCAGTTGTATGACTTAATAACTTTTTAATGAAAGGAAATATGTGGAAGTTGGCAAGTGATTTCTTGTTGCATGACTCTTTGACAATCAACTTAGACCAAGAAATAAAAGACATTCCACCTTAAGTTCAGCTGATGTTTTTTTCTTCTTCTTTCATTTAGATACTAATAAATATAAGAGATTTCAGTTCATGGCTGCTCCAGCTGTTTATAGTGTCCTCGTAATCCCTCACTTTTCATATACCATGTGAAAATCCTAATCCTCTCAGTAAATGCTGTGAATAGACTGCGTTAAAGCTGCATCTTAAAAAGTGACAATAGGGATGCATTTTAAAGTTACAAGTAGCAAAAATAGACCATGGTTTCAAAAGAAATGGGATAAATTAACATAATTTCTTAATATTTTTATATATTACCTTGATGTTTACAAGAAAATGATTCACAAGTTTATACTTATTGCTTTCAAGTAAATTAGAAACAAATGAATATTTCCAACCTCAATGCAAATGATAGGAAAATCTGATTTTATTTTTTGTGTGAATCACATAAACCCATATTTTATTCACAATGCAATGTAGTGAACATAAATGAAACTAGTGGAGATTTAAAATGTGAAAACTATTTTTTTTAAATTGCAACTAGAAAATAGAAGCTTTTGATTTTGCAGAACATCTTATTTTTATTTCTCACAGGAAATGTATGGAATGAACTTTAAGGGTCAAATTTACCAGGGCTGTGTACTGGCAAAAATTTGGTTAAATGATACACGTCATGATAAGATATTTCATAAWATATTGTGAGACTGTAAGCAAGGCAATATATTGACATTGTTTTTCTACAAAAATTTCTAATTAAAAAAAACTCATCAAACCAACATTTGACATGAAGGTCTACATTTTAACACTTATTTAAAAATTGATGCGATGCTTTTATGCTTTAGTGCTGAGAATTGATGCAGTATCAGGATTTTAAATATCACAATATTTCATGTATCTATATTTTTTTACACCCCTAAAATTTAATAGTAATACCTGTGGTGTCCTATCAGCATTTTTACAAATACTTGCACAAAGTGCCCGATACTCAGCATTGATACTAGTATCAGTACTCCAATGTTTGTCAGTTTCATGTTTCAAAATTCTGCAGTCTGAAAGAAAATTTTAAAACGTTTCATCAGTATATATGATTCTGCACGTTTAATTTGATCCAGCCAGAGGAGCTGTASGCCTATAAGGAAGGACAGCCATGTTAAATAAAAATGTTTTTAAARTTGTTGTGTAATGTTTAGGTTTTAACTCWATAAGTACTTGTTATCCACGAGTACCCAAACTGAAGTACATGTTTACATCGCTGAGTTAAACTAACAATGATCCACTTTCCTTAATTCATTTAGTCTGACAACCTGCAGTCTGTTTCATACTCAGACCTGCTCAGTYAGGCTGTGGCTCTGCAACAATAATAATTTATTAAAAAACATGACTACCACCATCTTGTTATACATCATGTTATTGATACTCTGTGTAAGACATCTAACTCACCTGCATTCAAACATTTTTACAGTTTGTCATCTGTGATTTCTAAGACCTGCCCATGATCACACAGTGACTGTCTCTGTCTTTTTTAGAGTGTGTGCATTAGTTCCCTTTGCAAACCTTCAGAGACAAACTCTTCCCACGAGGGAACCGTCAGTAATCTGGTCTTTTCAGACCCACCCAGCCCCACTGAGAGCCACGAGACTGAGCTTGATAGCCTCAAATCTCTCAGCGCTCCTGTTGAGGAGGAGGAGGAGGATGAGGAGTCGTGCGATCATGAGGAAGTTACAGATTTCGAGGCGCTCTCGGTGCCGGTCGTAGAGGTGGAAATGACCCAGCTGGCTCCTCCGCCCGGCGAGTTCTCCTGTAAAGCTTTAGATGAGGGCTGGGAGGAAGAAGGGCTGCGTAAACCGGTTGGATTTTCTTCCTATTTCAGGAGCGAGGGTCCACAGGTGTTACGCTGCTTCCAGGTAGTCTCCTGAATCACCTCGGGGTGGGGGCGGGGTGTGTGGTTTCTTTCGTCTGCTCGGCTCTCAGTAGCCACACTTGCTCACTCCTTTGCAGCACCGTGACACACACAAAAAGACAAATTTGTAAAAGTAGTGAGTACCGCGAGAATTGCTTTCCAATTGAATTCTACGCGCTGCAGAGGTGTTGCACAGTGGTGTGCAAAGATCTACACTATGGTGACGGGTTGCACTAACAATCATGTAACTTTAACATAAAAATCACTTCAAATTCTAATAAACTTCATTTTAATTTCTTCTGTTCTTTTGGTGTAATAAGTCCCAGCAGGAAGGACTCTTAAYATGCGTATGCTTTAAAGGGATCCCCGATTAGTTGTAATGTTAGGCTTTATTTCATAAACATATATTTTAACTGTAAAATAAAGACTGTAAGAATACTGTAGGCTGAATTTTAAAATATAAATTTTAACACGGACTGAGTCATTTTATTTACACAAAGCATTCTGGGTAAATGATGACGTGGATAGGTCCTCGGTGCGAGGCTGCTAGCGAGCTATATTCACCCTGAAGGTTAATCTTGGACAATATCTGATGATCGACTCTTAAATGAAACCAGAGAGCGTTGACAGAGAGGAGAAGGTAGAAATGACTCAGCTGTAACTGAAAATATGGATGGAGGACAACAGAGCTGCTTCATGGAAGAAGAACCTCAGCTTAGCCTGTTAGCTTTAGCCCGTACGCTATATTGCCTTATATGTATTAGCTCGGCACTAACACGACAAACTAACAAGCTAAACTGAGGTCCTCCATCCATATTTTCACGTGTAGGCTGAGTCATTTTTGTGTTCCCCTCTCTGTCATGTGGATGGAGGACCTCAGTGACGAGAGGAGAATGTGTAGCTCTGAGCTAATACATATATATGGTGATAGCTTCAAGGCTAATGCTAAAGCTAACAGGCTAAGCTGAGGTTCTTCTTCCATAAAGCAGCTCTGTTGTCCTCCATCCATATTTTCAGTTCCAGGCTGAGTCATTTCTACCTTCTCCTCTCTGTCAATGCTCTCTGGTTTCATTTAAAAGAGTCVATCATCAGATATTGTCCAAGATTAACCTTCAGGGTGGATATAGCTCGCTAGCAGCCTCGCACCGAGGACCTATCCACGTCATCATTTACCAAGAATGCTTTGTGTGTAAATAAAATGGCTCAGTCTGTGTAATATATTTTTAAACTTTTAGTTTAAAAATGATAAAAACTAAACATCCTACAGTATTTTTACAGTCTTTATTTTACAGTTAAAATATATGTTTATTAAATAAAGTCAAATGTTACAACTAATCATGGATCCCTTTAAAAATAATTCAGACTAATGCGGGCTGGTGGTGGAAATGATCACGTAGGAGAATGCATGGTTTCTGTGGGGCGTCGGTCCCGTTAAAACAGCCGCTCACGGGGCTATGCTCCCATTCACAGCCCCCTCTGGTGCAGACCCAGACTGTTACCATCACAGCCGTTTCCAACTCCATGTCCAGTGACATCTCCACCACAGAGGTCCCTATCGTCCCCACCAAGACCTTCACCTATGAGTCTTCAAAGGTAGGGGCCTCCAGCACCAGATCTGCCCGACCTGCAGGAGCTCAGGTTGGGCTGAAGGAGGTCTGATGACAAGCTGCTCTGGGTTTGTGGGGGGCTCCATTGCACCTTCTTAAACAGGAGGTCAGAGTTACGTTGAGTTGAATAATTACTCAGTGCTTTTTTTTGTGCTGCTTTTTTTTTCCCTCAGGTGACGGATGAAGGAACAGACGAGGACAAAGATGGTGCTACGTTTTCCAGTTCTCAGATCATTTCCTCAGAGACGACCAGCGGCACCACCGTCACCACTACTCAGATCTCAAAGGTTAGCAGCACGCATCAGTTCTTTGCTTTGTTTTTACACTTTATTTGATATGCCTCTTAGACACGTTTTACTCTCACACAGGTGGTGAGAAGTGGATCCACAGAGACCCGTGTGGAGAAGAGGATCGTCATATCTGCAGACRCTGATGAAGATAAGGTGCCGAAGTGAATTAAAAGTTACCAAATGAGAATTGCACATTTACTGTTTTAACTATTTATGGTGCTTTTATCTTTAATTCTGACATCTAAAATTAGAGGTTCTACAAACATCTTAAAGTGCCTGTGACATAATTTTTTTAATAATAAATATGAACATATTTTTTGGAAAGATAATATTGATAACATATTGTAAAAAAAAGATTTCATGTYGCTGAGATGAACAGTTGTTGAGATATTTGCTTGTGAAGAAACAGGAAGTGATGTCAAAGGGGAATGTCTGAATGTAAACAAAGCGTTGCTAAAATGGCTAACAGCACAGACTGTAGAGAAGTATCTGAAGTTTCTTTAGAATATTTTAATCACTATCAAAAAGAGATGAGAGAGTCATAGTTCAAATAATATTGTTTCAATAAACAAAAACCTGGGATTTTTTTTCTCAGTTACCCTTTGATGCCACTTCCTGTTTCACTTTAGCTGAGCAAAATAAAAAAAATAATAGGCCAATTATGTTGCATAACGTGTCAAATTGTGTATTATGCCAAATTTCTTAAATATAAATATATTTTCTTTGACTTTTTGTATTTCATGCATATGCACGTCACAGGCACTTTAAACCAACAATTCTTGTTGATTATTTATCTGTCTTGAATAAAAAGGAAAAAACAGACGTAACTCAAACAGTTTTGGTTTTAAGAACCAAACCCTGGTTTGTACTTGATTAGAAGTGGCAAAATTGTGTCTCGCTGGTGCGGTCTTGTGACAAAACATGCGTTATTTTCTTGAACCATATTGTGTGATTGGTCAGGACTTCTTTGGCGTGTTTATGCAGAAACGCTGCTGCAGTACGCTGCCATCTCCTCCAGTAAATCTTATAAAGATTGTAAGAGAACAAGTGGAGGGAGTTCATTTTGAGCACGAAGGAGACAGTGTGGAGACACAGGCGGCTCTCTGTGGCCGTGCTGACTGAGAAAGTAGTTCTTTCTTGTTGCAAATTAATGTCATTTTGTGTGTTTGCTGCAGGAGAAGCCCRGCGGAGTGTCTGCGTTGTAACCCAGCTTTTCTTTGACTCAGCTCTCAGACGTCCTCCGTCTGCAGCAGTCGATACGTTCACCACTTCTCTCTGCGCACAGTAGACCTCAGAAACCTGCACCCAAAATGTTTAATAACTGAGTGGATCATTCTGTCTGACTCTTGTTTTCATGTTCATTTGAGTAGTAGGTAGAGCTGCACATCGCTGATCAAAAGCTTATCTCGTTGCTGTGTTTTCAAGGCTTAGTGTGAACATTTTTTATTGGTTTAAGAACCAGCCTTTTCAGTTGAGTGATCTCAGTTATGTTTGCTTTAAATGTTTTTTATTTCATAGTGGTTTTTAACAGTCATTTTGTTTGAAATCTATTGTTTTCCACTTTAGTTCATAAAACTACAGTTAGCTTTTCTTCCCTTGGTGCTACTCGGGGAAAACGTTAAGACATTCAAGTCAACACATTCCTTATTTGTTGTTTACTTGTCTGCCCAATTCAGGAGACTTTTTTCCTTTTTATAAAACAAATGACATACCTCGCATCGATAAATATAATATTCTGTGCTCAAATTTGGAAAGTTTTTGTTTTCTTGCTCAGGTACTAAAAATTGAAATCTTTGCTCAGCAAACCAGCAAGGAACCAGTAGCTTACACGTTCTTGTAAAGTTTGAAATAAAAATTGATCTATTTTGAAATATTTCTCTATTTTATAAAAGTGTGCTTTTTATAGTATTTGTAAAAAAAAAGATAAGTGAGGTTTTTAAGTTATTCATATCGGTCTTGTTTAATTGTTGAAGTTTTGAAGACTTATTTAAAATCTGTTTTGCCTGAAAACCCTGAATCATTCTTAATCGTTTCCTCTTGTAGTCCACCAAGTTTATTAAAAGTCCTCACACTTCAGACGGCAGCAGAACGCTGCCCCTCAGACACATTTTTTATCGGCATCATAAAAGTCGCTTTTAAACATATTTTTGGTTGATAAAAGTTTCACTAGCTCTGGTCTGCTTATCTCAGGTTTTGATGTTCTTTGTAAAACAACAGACCTTCATATGATTGTATGAGGAATAAAAATCCATTTTTATTAGAAATGTACATTATTGTTCACTGAAGTGAAGTCTAGAAAAACACATTTGTTACAACAACCACGTGTAAAACAAAGGCAGCTGCCTGAGTGTATGTGGCTTTTTTTACAGGTATACAGTAATTTATTTGAAGAGTCAGAACTGTTTGTGATTTTGATGTTTTTGTGGTGTTTTAACATGAGCTGCGAGGCTTCAGCTAGAGATGTCAAATACATTATCAAACACGTTCATAAAGCCTTTTTAGCCACGTAGTTTCACCTTAGAATGCTCTCACTTGCTGTACGTTTTCTATAGAGGAAAGTTTTGCTTCTGTAGCAAGTTTTTTTTAGGTTTCTTTCCAACCCAAACAGAATCCTGTGATAATGTAGCTTCACAGATTAAAAAAAAACACCTCACAATCATCTCCTGGATGAAAAAGTAGCGTTTCAGAGGACATAAATGTAGGTTTTAGTTGYAGAAACTATTGTTGCTTTGTGAATGATCCTTGTCTTTATATGAAAAAATAAAATTATGCACTAATTTGCTTTTTGTCTGGGTCTGTCCGAGTGTGAAGTATGCAACTTGTATGTTAAAATTTTAGCAATAAGTAAGTAGCTGCTTGTATCATTTGCCTGAGGGATGATGGTGGATGCAGTTCCATGTCCAAACACTAGTGGCGCTAATGAGTCAAACGTCCAGCATGAATGAAGCTTGCAAAAGTTTTCTTCAGAAGATAAACTATCCTGCAGAAAGTCTTTCAGCTGACAAATGATGGTTGTCTTTTCTCAAATGCTCTGTGTTTGAGAGTAAATTTATCTTTGCACAGTAAAAATGAATGTGAAATTAGTAAGAACTTAATGTGCCTTACCAAAACCGTGATTTGTGTCCAAGGAGGCTGAAAACTTTGGCCACTCAACGTAAACACCATCATAATGAATTTATTTGCAAACTGTCAGCTTTAGTTTTGAAGTTTACATCCAAATCATGTGAAAGGTGTTTGAATTACAACTTTGTAGATGTGTCTACTTTTTTAAAGGACCAAAATTAATGGGACAACTTAAAACTTTCACCTAATATTTGGGTGCAAATCCTTAAGTCATTTACAGCTTTCGGTCTGGAGCAGACATCAGCAGATGCTGCCAGGCCTCTACTGCAACTGTCTTCACTTCCTGCTTCTTCTTGAGCCATTTTCCCCTTCAGTTTTGTCTTCAAGTAAAACGCTCAGATTTAAGTCAGGTAATTGACTCGACCACTTCTTCATCTTGCAAAACTGCTTGCTTTTGCAGTATGCTTACTAAGCACACTGCGAAAGCAGCCCAACTAGTAATTCACCCAACCTGATGTGGATGTAAATACCTTCAAAATAAAGCTGAAGGTCTGGAGGTGAAACACAAGTTTCATTTCAAATCCATAATGGTGGTGTTTACAGCTGAAAACATGAGAACTGTGTCGCTGTCTTCACTGAATAACGACCAGCTGTGGAACTAAAACAAAGTGCTGGGAGAAGAAAAAGATATTCAACATCTTCTGTAACAACTTTATGATTCATTACAATTCAAGGTCAAACGTCTACGGCAAATCTGAGACATTTTTTGGCAATATTCACTGATTTACTGTAATTCTTCTGCCGTATAACTTGTCTACAGGAGACCCCATCAAAAACGATGCACTAAAGTTTGAGCTTTGGGCATGCTCCGTAAAGATAAAAAATAATTCAACTCGGTTTCACTAAATACGAAGAAATGGGTCATTTAAAAMSGTATTAACACAGATGAGCTTCCATAACTGTACAACCATTTATTGGGAATATATAGTACACTGCTTCAAACTAGTGGTAAACATTAAAGGTCCATGAGTCCATTGTTGTTGTTTTTACAGTTGAGCTCTAGCGAATCGTCTTCACCGGGCTTTTGAAACTCGATGCAGCCTGAAGTTGGAGCTGATACGCCATCGGGTGAATTTTGAATCCATACAGCCTGAAAAAAACCAAACACTAGTTGATACAGAAGAACGCAGCTTTTAAAAATGATTGTTGTAGGAGCAGGTCTCAGGATTAGAGTCGGAATTATTGAGATTATGACTTGATAGGAAAGTTTAGRTTATTATTTTGAAGTGGGGTTTAGTGGAGCTGCGATGAGTACTTCGTATCTTACCTGCAGTAGATAGCCGTAGATAGTAAAACACTTTATTAGAAGAATTGAGAAGTTCTCATGGGGGAGTCAAGCTAACAACTATACTGACTCAAGTTTGCACAGTTTTGTAGCAGTTTCATTAAAAGCATTGTTGTAGATGTTTACACTGTGTTACAAAAGTCCTGCGACAGTTCGCAGCAGCATCCAGCTCCGACTCTCCTCAGATTAAATGATTTTAGAMGCSTTTAAAGCTGAGAATAAAGAGCATGTGAACAAACCTCGGCACAAACTGGTTGGCTGGTCGCTTCGGTCGATACTCTGGGTGCACCATGAACARCATGTGAGGAAAGCCCGTGCCAAAGTAGGCTCCATCTGTGTGGTGGTGTCGAGAGGACTTGGGGGTGTAAACATCCATACACTTAGGGCAATAAAGCTTCACCATCGCTTCTCCTGGGATGTCTGACAGACCTGCACCCGTCAGGAGGAGGAGGAGTTAGAGGGGCTTTCATCGTCTTAAAATCAGAGAGTTGGTTTGAGAAAAGTCAGACTTACCGATAGGAAGCATTGGCTGATTTTCACAATAAACTCTGGGGCAATAACCRAAGTCCCCCTGTTGATACTTTTCCAGCTTCCAAAAGCAACACATTCAGATTACTACTGATGATTTCACAGCATATAAAAACTCCAAMGTTACTATGAACCAAACCTACCATCTGTGCAATGCCCCTGTTGGTGAGGATGTAGCGTGCGTGGATGAGGCCATAAAGCATCTCGGCGGCCTGCTCAATCAAATCACTCTGGTTCTGGTTATCTTCAAGCTCCTCATCTGTTAAATCAAATCAATAAAGACAGTTAATTTCACTGTCCTTGATATATCTTTCCTCATGTATATGAACTAAACTCTTCTCGACAGCCTCACCTGGCTCCAAGTCGAGAATCATGTCAAGAGCCTGGCGATAGTGAGGGACCTGCTCGTTTAAACCTGTCAGGTTAAACTTGTCCTGTATGTAGTCTTCATCCACCTGAAACAGAGAAAAAAAAAGATTGATATTAAAAAGGACACCAATGATTGTAGCAGCACAACAGTAAGACACAGAAAGTATGCTAAAATGTCAAATTACTGTAAAACATCTGGTTTTGGTTAAACTTGATTTAAACACTGGGAAAAACACAGGATTCCCAGATAAATATAAAATGTGTTTTTATCTGTACCTGTTGTGTACATTTTCACCAACACAACACTCACTTCATATTAAAACACCCTCACTAAGCACGTACTGCAGTTTGGGTCAAAATGCAATAATTTTAAAGGTAAAGTACAACCGTTTACTGTGCCCCATTTTGAAACCCAGGCCTGCAAAGTGGCCAATTTTAATTGTTGACAGTTCTACTGACGACTAACTGGACAACATACAATTTTTGCCCAACCCTAAAAAAACACAGCTGTCTATTTCCACTGCAGAGCACATCAGTGAAAATCAGGATTTTATGCAGATTTTACACCCAACAATCTAAATAACTGTCTACCTAATGATCAGAGATGAAGTGAGGATGGTGCAATTCTACATCTACGTGCYTCTGTTCATATAATTATGGGCAGAAGTTGCTGCAGCTGAAAGGAAATGCTGCATTTCAGACTCAATTTGACACTTCCTTATATAGTTTTTCTTTAAGTGAACAGCAACTGGAAATAACTAAACTATTAACTTTTGTACATATGATGCTTACCTCACAGAAGAACTCATTTCCTCTGAGTCCACAGAACCAGGATATCCAGGACACTTCCTCCGAGCTGCTCATCCTCCTGATAAAAACCAGCAGAGGAGCCGTAAACCACCTCACATCCACACCGGCTGGCTAACATGCTAACCAGGAGGAAAACCCCACTAGGCTAGCTAAATAAACTTCACGAACCCTATTTTTAAGCCTCACAGAATTAACTTGGGTTTGCAATGCTACCTAAGGTTAGCTTCTCATTTACACGCTAGCTTGCGTCGCCCATCGTGTAACGTACGAGCGCAGAACGTGAGCAAATTATATATATAAAAATCAAAATAAATTATTCTCTTCGTATTTATAAAATGTGGCATTAATACGCGTTTACTCACCTTTCTTATGAATATTTATTAATATATTTACTTGTAAGCTTCGCTAATGCGTCCAGGCTCTCTCCAAGACGGTGTAGCTTCCGGTGTTGTGCGGAAAAAAAGCGGAAGTGCTTTTCAAGGTTTTCAAAATAAATGCAGTAGGCCTAATAAAAACAGTTTGCCTATTTTTTAATAAAAGTATATCAGACATGTTTACAGTAACATGATTATGTTTGTTCTGAAATGACAGACTGTATGAAACAAGACAACATCTTTCTTTTGCTACTTTATGACCCCACTTTCATCAGACCTCAGTAAYCACTTAACAATGACAATGGTTTAACAATAATCAGTAACAATCAGTAATAAAAAGAATAAAACATACTTTCATCAAAGTACATAGAGTATGTTGATGTTTTAGGCAGTGTAAAAAGAAAAGTTTCAATTTCATCATTTTGTAAAAAAAAACATATTTTTAATCAGTGTTTGTTTTTATGTACTATTTTGTTAATGCATTGGGTAATTTATAAATCAGGTTATTAAGCAGCAGCAGTTTGTCAATTTTATTTAAATAAAGATGGCAGCTTCAGGGGAGGTCTGAAAAAGTTTTGCGAGTAGGTGGTCCAGCACTCTTCTGCTCCTGCTCCTTTCCCATTCCTTCAAACATCAAGATCCTTAAACATAAAAAAACATGATTAGTTGCTTTCCAAAGCATTATCACACACATTTGGTACGATAAAACATCATAGCATTGTTTGTTTTCAGCAACTAGTAGTTTTTTGTTAATTCTAATATGCATAGTGTAATATAATTTGAATTAATGTTTTGTTATATAGAAAAAATAAAACCACATGTTATGAATTTGTCATCTGATCAGCTCAATATTGACTCGTAGTTATTAATACATCCAGTATTTTGAAACAAATCTATACCATTTGATTGTTTTGAGTTATTTTGTTCCCTGATCTCCTCTTAACCCCATTGTGTCAAACCTGCTTTTYAAACATCCTGGTCTTTCATACTCACAGCTTTAGAATTGCATTTCGTTTCCCCAGCATCATATTCAGGAAGTCATGGTAGCTGATGGTGTCACTCGATGCACTTCCAGCCACCTCTGACATCATCTTCTTCAGCTCTAAGTGGGTTTTGGSCAAGCCGAGTTTCTCCAGCATACGYTTCAGTCCCATCATATCTACAAAAGTATCAGGCCACACACAGAAAAGGCAGTCAAGAATGAAAGTAAAAATAAAAATTCTCACAGAAGCTAAAAATAGTTGTGATAAGTAAAACAATGGTGCATATTCACCTATTTCCCCTTTGTCATTAAGATCAAACTCCATGTATTTCTCTGAAACACAAACACAAAGAATGTCACATCAAAAMTGAAGCTTTTGCWTTTGATAAATAATGAACATGGATGTAAAAGCTGAGTGCTCACTTTTAAACATTTCAAGTTTTGCAGCCAGATCTTCCTCTTCTGCATACTTTGGATCAGTGAGAAAAGCCTGAGGAGCAGATAAAATAAAACCCAAATGCACGCAGATAATTCATGTTTTTGCTTTCTGCACCAAAATGTGCATTAATATCATCTCAGCTCACCTCATTGATAGAGCTGAGTTTCTCCTCCTGTTGAGATTTCAGAACGCCATAAGCTTTACCTCCTGAGAGGGAGAGAGGCCAACAAACAAGAGCTCAGTCACTTGATAYAAACGAGGTAAATTAACTTTAACATCATCCAAGATRTAAGGCAAACAAACCTTGAACGCYGCTGTCCATTTCTGTGAAGCGTGCTGGGACGACCAAATCTATCACTGAAACTGAAAGGTTTTTTTGTTGTGGCTGTAAATTGTGTCAGAAGAGGAAGTAAAGTTTAAAAAAAACATTTCAGCCTGTGAGGCAGAAGTTCCTGCRTTGCATTTTAAGGCTGCAACAAGACAGAGGTCAAGTGTGATGCAARAAACAAAATGCACATTTCAATTTCACCACACAGGGTAGAGAAACATTGAGTTGTTCAGGGAGGATATGAGTGCTGCTCAGGTGCAGAACATGAAGAGGTCATTTAGAGAAAGAACTATGGACTGCTTTATCATTTCCCCCGCCCCAAACCCTGTTATAAGCTCCATAAATACCTTTGCATGTATTCTCTACAGATGTAGGTGTAATGCTTTATTATTGCCACACGGGGGCACTGTTGCAAAACAAATTGAAACTTGGAAACAAAAAGTGAAGATTTGTTTTAAAACTTTCTTTCGACTTTGCTGCGATACTGCAAAGGACATGTTTGTGTTTGGAGGCTTTTCTCTTATCCAATCTATTAAATGTCACACCCAACTGCAGAGGTGATTGTGTTTCTGAGTCTGACACATACATTTTCTATATCTTCATACACCACATTCCTCACACTGAAGAATAACAAAGCCAGGATCTGGCCTGTGGGCAGCTGCGCTGTACAATCAAACTAGAAAATATCCGCATCCCTCTATTTTTTATTCATTTTTTTTTTATTCCTGCAGGTGCTTTTAGAGCTGCGTCATTACAGGTGTAACCCACGTGGGTGCATGGCAACACTTCAGTAGAATCCTGGGGCAAATAAACATCAGCTTTCAGTAATCACAGCTACACAGAGGTGTCTTCAGGAAAAGGCAGAAAGAGTTACCATTACCTTTGTAGAATTTGAACTAGCAACAGGAATGCTAAACTCCTGCCTTTAGGCCTTGTACTGGAAACGAAACAGGGTAATGGAAACACCACATTTAAAACAGAACAGATACATTTGAGCTTGAAACAAAAATACCTGTTGGAAACTGACCTGGAACAGGTTTGTTGGCACCACATTTCTTCAGAGGCAGAAAAAAAAATTCAAACTGAGTTCAAACAGTTTATCATCCTATAAAAGTTCAAGATAACATGAACCAAGGAGCTCCAGACACCACATGGTCCAGCTGTGATTTTTACCTGAACGGGTCCAACACAGCGTCATGCGTTGAGAATCCTCCATCATCCTTGGAGTCGTACCCAAAGACATGGTGCATTCACACCAAACTCGATTTCAGCATCAGGAGCATCAGGTTTACATGCAAAGTCTATGGTGGACGTGCTTCAAGCAGCGTCGGGAANAATGCACATTTCAATTTCACCACACAGGGTAGAGAAACATTGAGTTGTTCAGGGAGGATATGAGTGCTGCTCAGGTGCAGAACATGAAGAGATCATTTAGAGAAAGAACTATGGACTGCTTTATCACTTAAATGTACTCTCTTCAGATGTGGCTGTAATGCTTGATCTTTGCCACACGGGGGCGCTGTTGCAAAACAAGCCGAAAAGTGGAAAAACAAAGGCGGTGTGAGTGAGGAGGTAGTTTCAGGTTGACTCCTTAAAGGAACAGAAAACTGTTGGAAACAAAAAGTGAATATTTGATTTAAAACTTTCTTTCGACTGTGCTGCGATACAGAAAATGACACGATTGTGTTTGGAGGTTTTTCTCGTATCCGTTCTATTAAATGTCATACCCAACTGCAGAGGTGAGTGTGTCTCTGGGTCTGTTTTTTAAACAAATTTAAAACAAATTTTGGTACTTTTTAATTTGGCACTTTTTATGTTTATTTTTGTCTGAAACTGAGTTAATGAAAAAAATGCAATATGTGGTTTGTCATTCAAACACTAAGAGATACATAAACTGCTCTTATTGTGTCGTTATTTGAAAGCTGGCTCTGCAGGTGCTGAGATAGTGTCAGTGGTTAAAGACGAAGACGCAGCTCTATCGTGTTTAAGTTCCAACGTGACGGATCCAAAGAGCTCTTATCGAATCAAATGGGTAAGGAGTGCCACAGGGACCAGTTCTGAGAAGCTCATCTTCCAGTGGCCCAAAAAATCACAGGAAGCAGGACGTGTGAGGTTGGAGGATGACAGGACAGGACGAGTGTGTCTTTGGCTGAAATTTGTACAAAAAGCAGACCAAGGGCTGTACAGATGTGAAGTCTGGGAAGGGTGGGACATCATCCAGGTCCAAAATATATCTTTAAAAGTGAAAGGTAAAATCAACTAATCATTCAGAGATAGGCTTTATTTTAAACTGTAGGTGAAAAATCTTTTTAAAATGTGTTTTTCATGCTCTTTCAGACTGCAGAACCCTTGAATCAGAGACGGCGACACTCGGTTTGCCTTTTACATTCAAATGCAAAGTGATTGCAACACCAGCACCTTCAAACATCTCTTGGGTGAAGTTAAAGGGAGACAAACATGTATCTGTGAACTCCACGAGGGTCCAAGCTGATGGTCTCTTTTTGACCATCCAGTCTGTGGCTGACAGCGACCGGGGTTGGTACAGATGTAATTACATTGTTGGACAATCCCACCGCTGCTCTAAAATCAATCTACAAGTCCAAGGTTTGATCTTTAAACAATCTGCATCATCACCAACACTAACAAGTTTTATGATTAATTCCCTTTGTTTTCTTTAATGAAGCAGAAGGTGTCTTTGTGGTCACAACGGTTTCTGTTCCCACAGTTTCAACTTCTCAAMCAGGTCTGCATTAATTGTCCCGTTTTTGCTGTCGTCCTCTGATTTTTTATTATTATTTTTCATTTAGTTTCTTTTTGCTCTGACAGCCAGGGAAGTTGTGCAGATTACCAGGGAGACGAAGTTCAGTGAAACCCTGGTTGTGACCTCGGTGGTCAGTGGGATTTTCATCCTGGCCGCGCTGACAGYACTCATCGTTTTCTACAAACGCTACACCCAAAGATGCGGGGGGCAACTCCAGGGGTCCACCGCGGGTGAGCTCAGTCCGAGGGCCCGTTCAGACATCATACTGACCATAAACAGCACCGTGTAACTGGAGCTTTGTACCCTCTGTTCAGGTTCTTTTAAAGGGTCCTCAGAGTTTTATGAGAATGTGACTCTTCCACGTTTGTTTGGTGAGTRACACATTATCAGGCTTACCAAKGGRCGTCCAATCCTGGTCCTCCAGRGCCACCATCCTGAATGTTTTAGAGGTTTATCTGCTCCAGATGRTTTGAATGAATGGGTGATTAAGAGGCTCCTGCAGAATATGAGATAAGAAACTGAGGGGAGATCGAGCTTTTCAATCGTGGCTCCCAAGCTTTGGAACAATCTACYCCGCAACCAGGGGCGGTTCTAGGGGCGGGGCCACAGGGGCATTTGCCCCTACTGAAATTTGATTGGCCCCCTGAAGTGCCTCTATCCTGTCACTCATCTGTCATTTGCCCAAGAGCAATGATGGCTGATGCAGTTCCACGTCCAAACACTAGAGGCGCTACTGAGACCGACAGAAAACTCCAGCATGAATCAAGCCGACAGTCTTTTTATTTTCTTAACATTTGAACAATCCTGCAGAAAAAAGTATTTCAGCTCACAAATGATGGGTGAATTCTCTCACATGCTGTTAGTTTGAAGGTATTTTATCTATGAACTGTAAAAATTCATGTGAAATTGGTAAGGAGAATTTACTGTTCAAGCTTTTTAAAAATTGCATCACAAGTGTTTAAACTTGTGACTGGTTAAATATATACAGCAAACCAAAACCAGGCAAGGATGCTGAACAAATACTTGGCCCGTCTATAAGTATTGTGGCCCCTTATACAGAAATATCTCAGATCTGCCACTGACCCCAACGTTAGACAGGCCTCGTCAGTTGTGCACAACATTCACACGGTTTGACCAAAATGCTTTAACTCCGCCCCTTTCTTTTTTTAAACCTACAGATACAACAAGCCGAATCAACAGTTTGTACAGTTTACAAGGAGAGAGCACGTTCTCATGTAAGTGTTGCTACAATAAATGACTCAACTTTGAAAATCGCCTCTTTTTTTGTTTATTATATTATCTCTCTTTTGTTGCAGAGTCATTTCCAGACCTCGGATGGATGAAGATTCTTCTTCTCCCTCACAGCTGATCAATTTAAACATTTGTCTGTTAAAAAAATTAAATTTCAGACCATGTTTGCCTTTTGATTTAACCTTTTCTCCATTTTATGTCTGTTGTTCTTTTCAGAAACACCGATCAGTGACTGTAACGTTCTCTTGTAAAACAGATTTTTAAAAAATCATGTTTTTGAGAGCAAAAAGAACGGCACATTGTTTATTTCAGTTCACAGCTTGTAATAAATTGTATAAACCATCATCTGTTGTAGGTGCTTCTCTTTTCAATGCTCGCTGCCTTTCTACTTCCTCATCCTGAATGACATCATAAACATGAGCCTGGGAAGACAAAGGAAAGCTTGTCATTTGACATGTAGACGCACCATGAAACACAAAAGTTCCTCTTACCATTGCAATACTTGGCTGTTTATTGTCTGTAGAAAGAGATGTGAGAAAAAAAATAAAACWTTTTTTTCTTTATATACAAAGGTTTCAGTTTAGATTCCTTCACCAGATTCTGTACCTGCATCCTTGTTTTGCTTCCTCTTCCTGTAGAAGTAAAGTCCTGCAGCAGTAAACAGCAGCAGTCCGAGGAGGCCTAACCAGGTGAGTTTCTGCAGAGCTGAGGGAATAAATTTTTTTATATGTCCTGGTGCATCTCAGTAATCCAGGTAGAAAAAAATCAAAAAGAAAAAATAAGTTGGTCCTCTGGATGGGTTCTTCTTTAGTGAAATGTTCCGTCTCTCCTCCAAGAGACTTCTTCAGTCTGATGAGTTTCAGGTGAACTCAGCCTTATAAACACTGCCTCCACATGGACAAACAGGTTAGTCATATGCAAAAGAGGGCCATCGACTAACAATAGGCTTGATTGGCTCTATTGTTCATAGAGGGTCAAAAAATAAACGGGGGGATGTCGAGCCCCACTTGCATTCACTACACACATAACACAACACGGGTCAGGTGATGGRGCACATGACCCTCCATGAACAATAGAGCTAATCAAGCCTATTGTTAGGCGATGACCCTCTTTTGCATATGACTAACCTGTTTGTCCATGTGGAGGCGGAGCTTATAAGGCTGAGTTCACCCGAAACTCATCAGACTGAAGAAGTCTCTTGGAGGAGAGACGAAACGTTTCACTAAAGAAGAACCCATCCAGAGGACCTACTGATTTTTTTCTTTTTGAAAAAACCTTTATGGTTTCCATTTGTTTATGTAGAGATTTAATGCATATTTTACAGCTTTATAAGTTGTAAAAGCACGCAGACATACGGGTGTCAGAGCGCCACCGCTTGGATGCCATCAGAGAACTTTCTCTGTACACCGAGCAGCTGATTTCCTCTGAGCTTTTAGGCCAAACCAGGAGAACCAGCTCACGGATCAGCGTGTTGTTGACTCTCATCGATCTGCTCCTCCAGCTCCCTTCGGCTGGAGACCAAGTTAAGTCGAAGCTATCTTCGCATTCCTCGGCACACGTTAGCACGCAGGTCAAAGTCAGGTTTTCTCTCCTTGCAGTGACTGTAAACGAAGAGAAAAGAGGTGTAATGTCCAAAAACCGTGTTTTTGCATTTGTGCTGCAGTTTTCAAATGTACCATCGAGCGTGTGCAGCCTGACTTTGTGGAAGACTTTTCGCTGACCGGAGGACTCTGCACACTGATAATCTCCAGCCTGCTGAGCACTCAGTTTATCCATCACTAATGATGAGTCTTCACTCGTGTAAAAGGCTTTTGTCTGTGTCTTTTCCTTCACAGTCCACTCTGTGCGGCCTCCAGAACTGAGAGAGGAAGTGTTTCTACAAGCGAGTGACACTGACTCACCAACTGCAGCAAACACTTCCTCCAGGCCGCCTACAGGAAAACAGAGTTTACCCTTTATTCTCATTAAGTCACAGGCTTAAATTAAAAAAAACAAAACAGTTCAGCACCTTTTATTGTCGTCTCATAACCGATGGAGGCTTTCACCTCGTTGCTCTGAGTCAGGTGGCACCTCCACGTTCTGTGATGGTCTGTCAGTTTTGTGCGGATGATCAGTTTTGAGAAGCAGCCATTCTGGTTCTCCAATCGAAATCTTTTACCATTTAAAGGGGTATCATCCCGGGCCGTCCACCTGATGTGTACGTCTGTGTTCTTATCAACAACGTATCCCTTAAATGTGTTGAGGTAACACTGAAGCTCCACTSTGCCCTCTGCAGGAGCCGGGTTCTCCTGAACTGGTGATCAAAATAACAGAACTATGATGTGCCCTTTGTAAAGTTACACAGTCAAAAATTACCACCAATATTTTTGTTTTATTTAGCCTTTTATAAGAAAAAAGAACAGATTTATTTTTCAAAGTCAGTTTTTCACCATATGATTCATACATTTACAA